AAAAAAATTGAATCAAATTTCAAGAAAAAAAAATAAAGAATACCACCCCCCCCCCCCCACCCCACCCCACCCAACTTGTTGATTGAAGATGGAATTGAAATTACTCTAATTTAAAGAGAGAGCTATAGCTATAAATAAAAAGGTTGAAGGGATAGGGTTCAATACAAGAACAAGTGGGAATCGAAATGAAAGGTAAACCTAGAGTAAGAAGAAAAAAGGGAATCTGATTAGTGGGCCCTACACATGGGATGCATGCGTGTAATTTTAGATATGGAATAAAGGTGCCATTTTTTAGGTAGCTAAGCTAATCTTCGTGCTTATTCAATTTATTCAGAAAAAAAAAAAAAAGTCGGACAGAAAATCCGTGTATTACACGGGATATCAAAAAATACAAGCGGTGCTTTATTTCACTTTATACTTGTGATATAAATACATAACTATAGATTTTTTTTTAAATTATTATTTACGACTCTAAATATTATTTACGTGATTTAATTTAAATTATATTCTTTCAGGGTTTGTATATTATGGAGTAAAAAGAAATCAACTACTAGAAATCAATGATGTGATTGATTGGAAATTAACCACTCAACTCGCCAAAAGCTTAGCCATACCAAATAATAGGACCTAAACTATTTTTTAAAACTAAATAAATGGGAAAAAATATAATAAGAAGGCCCTTCTTATTAATTTTTTTTCTTTTCTGTTTTTTAGTTATTTATGTACAATTTTACAATGTTTATTATATAAATATACATTTTCTTAAATAAAATAAAAATTACGTTTGAAATTCCATACCAACATATAAATAATCGAATTTCATATATGACTTGCACATTTTAAATAATAAATTTGCAATACTTTAATACTAAAACAGCCATTTTTTTTATAATAGTAAACACAAATGGTATTTTATATGAGATACACACACAACATATTATAAACTTAAAACAGTGCAATATTATAAAGTAAGACAAAACATTACAAGGGAGGCAAAATCACATTTTCAATACCTTGACCTTCTTCCCCTGCAAATAATCGAGTTTATAAGACACCATATTCGCGCACATAGTTGAAACGATGTTCGATGACAAACAAAGTAGAATATTAATTACCTAGGAGAGTGAGATCGAGAGTATGAACGAGAACGAGATTTTCGCGAAGAACGAGAGCGAGAAGGTGAACGCGACTTTCTAGAACTCTTACTCCTACTAGGGCTACGGCTTCGCCTGTATCTTTTGAATAAATAAGTAAAAAACACAATTTAATTCATCATCGGAGCAAATGAAAACTATAACTATTACTTTTGTGGCATTTGCTATATGTTTGTAGAATTCTAAGCAAAATATCTATTAGTACCTGGGAGAGCGGCTGTAACTTCTACTACGGCTTCTTCGCTGATATCGACTCACTCGACTCGTTTCTGCAAGTTTCTCAAGCCTATGTTTCTCTTGTTCTCGTTTCTTTGCCATTTCAACTGCTGTGTCCTTTTTAACTGCAAAAAATAGTGTTGCAACATTTCCAATGATTAACCAGACAGGCAAGCAAACAGAGGAGAACAAATGGAGGAAATTTGTATTTCTCTCTCTGATTTTTTTATAACAAAATGCCGCCATATGACCGGTTGATTTAGTACTTCGCTTCGGGAATCAATATCAAAAGAATTATACTTTGTTTATTTAGCTGCTTGTCCATTATCCGTTTAAGTCGTTCTTGAGGAGTTTCCTTCTTCTCGCCCTGTTGCTTAGTGAGACTTCCATTACTAGCTGCTTTGCTCAATTTTGCTAGTGCAGAGGATGTGCTGCAAAGAGGAACAATAATCATAAAGAAAATCCAGAAAAATACGTACAAAAAAATATCCAATATATATATATAATATATATATATATATATATATATATATATATATATATATATATATATATATATATATATATATATATATATACATATATATAAGAATTACTTTGGTGTTGTTTTCAGTGGCTTGGCATTTCTATCTTTGTCGAGGGATACACCAGAGGCGGGGTCTACATGGAGGGCCTCAAGTATGCGACCAGGCAGTGGCCTGCGTGAGAGCATAAGCATTAGACACACATATTACGTGACTCAGTGTAATTCGCTTGGTGCAGTCATGTGATGTCTTAATTCAGTGAAAAACGAGCTTCAAAACAAAGCGCTCTGTTCCTCTGCTTGAAACCTAGAGATTGATGTATTATTATAAACCACAAATTAAAGGTCGAGTGCTCCGACCGGTTCAATGCATAGGTTTGAGATGGAGGAGATTGTGGTGGAGAATATCCTTCAAGATTTGGCCCTTCCCCATTTCCCGAGCCACCAAATTCAGTAATATACTCTATTTTCGGGGCACTATCTTTGCTTCGATGAGTATGGCGCCTAGATTGTGAGGGAGAGTAGGACCTCGACCTCGACCTCGATCTACAAATATTTTTTAAAATAATAACAATAAAAAAAGCACGTTAGCTCATTTGTCAACCAGATTGGCCATGATATAGCGGACAAAAAAGTTAAAAGAAAAAATGCAAAACTATATACCTCCTAGAACGTGCATAAGCTTCATAAGTAGGACTTCGCCTAGACTCCCTTCAAATTATCAAGAGATAACATAGTTAAGTACATCCACAAACCTATCTTAAAATCTATGTGCCAGTAAATACAGTGCAAGAAGACGTATAGCGGTTACCGGTATGGGTCGTGATGTAGAACTCTCGTTCCAGTAACCCTAGCAGCTTCCCTTTCCCTCTCTCTTTCAATCTGAGAAACTTTCCTTCTCTCCTTGCGACTCAGCTTCTTCTGTAATTCATCATTAAAAGGTACATATTATAAAAATGTACATCCTAACTCGACCGTAATTTTGAATCCAAACATCAAACGAACTTACAATTGAAGGATCTCCTTTGATCACTTCTTTCTGCCTTCTAGCCTCTTCTTTAGCCTTTTTATCCATATATAAAAGCCACCCGTACCTCTTCACTCCAAATTCTTTAGCAATAGACTCCATTGCTTCATCGTTGCTGTCATCACTATTAAAATCTTCCTCTTCTTCTTCATCTTCGTCATCTTCTTCATCACCATCTGAATATTGATTATCTTCTTGGGCATTTCCATCGTATGAGAAACCGACTTGCGAATAAGAACCTTTATTTTGTGGAGCCTGAGCCACGTGTGATTTGCCGCTACTGCAGTTGTCAATAATCAATTAAAAGTACAAAGAGTCGTTATAAACACCGTCTCCAAAACAACTAAAATAATGTAAATTTAACGAGCATTTGTACGGTTAGAGAGCATTTATACCTGTCTGGTCCAAAGGCTGCAGTTATCTTAGCCTCCATCTCTAGGTTAACATGTTGTAGACCCTCCTCGTCAGTAACTGCCGAACATATTGTTAGCAGGTGCTAAACTTTTTTATACGGTGCATTTAAAGTAACCATCATATAAGAAGACGTTGTTATCTAAAGATGATACTCAACACACAGCAAAGGAAAATATATGATTTTTGTATAAAACAAAAAAGTACCGACATCCTCTACGTCGATGCTTAATTAAATCCCGGTAACGCTCAAAACTAACAAACTCTTCTAACTCTTCCTCTTCCTCAGTTTTCTCTGGAACTCGAACACGTCGGGAACTACTATCACGGATGAAATCAAGAAGTGCTCTGCCGTCGAATCTATGAAGATAGCATGCAATTAGTATTTACGATGACGCCCAAGCATCCGACTAAAACTTGAAAGAGATGTAAATGCAGTTATCTTTCGGCTTGTCAGGAAATTAAAATCCAATTACCTGTCAATCAAAATATCCTGTTTCCCATTCCAAGGTATCCTGATCAGAGCAACAAATATTAGATCTATGTTTGATGAGACAACACATATACTTTTACATAGCATTACTGCATTATCAGATACAGCTACAATTATAAACAAGCTTACAACGGAAATGGAAACATGCATAATCCCGTACAACTTAACCCCAGACGGCAGAAAATTAATAGATTTAGTATCACGAACAAAAGGGATTTATTTACTTCAAATTCATAAGAAGAAGAAGAAAAAATTGCGAAAATTTGGAAATTCCTTACAGGCTCTGTTGATCCTGAGTGGCTTGATAGAGAGCGTCGTCGCGGTGGATGCGGGAACGGGATCCGACGGCCTGAATCGCCTGCTGAGGGTCGCCGCGCCGCTTAGCCAGGTAAATGGCCCGCCGCTGAGCCCGCTTCCTCGCCGCGTCCATCATGTCGTGGACCTTCTTCTCCGACCTTCGCGCCTCATGCCACATTTTTTTTTTCCGATTCAATTTGATCGAATTTTCAGATGAGAATTGATTTTTGATCGTAGTTGTGGAAACCCTAGCGTGTGAATTTGTGTTTTTTGTGTTGTTTTGTTTTGTTTTTTTTTTAAACTATAAATAGCAATTAAACCCCTTGTAGTTTGAACTTTGTACACACGACCCCTAATACTTTCAATATAAGAATACAGTCCCCTATAGTTTGAACTTTCTGCACATACCCCCTTGTACTTTTAATATAAGCACATAAACCTCTATAATATTTCGCTTGGTAAATAATCATGTTCATTAGGGAATGAAATTTTTGAAAGTAGAAGGGAATTATGTACTTAAATTAAAACTTAGATGGGGTCATGTGCTTAACTAAAAGTATAAAGAATCATGTGTGCAAAATTCAAACCAAGTGCTATTATTAACCATTTTATTTTTATTTTTTTGATTTTCCAATGCGAAGATGTGCAATTGCAATTATACATTTATCGAAAATCGGAAACGAATAGGCATAATTGAGGCTGTAAAGCGTGCTATGTTAAATAAACCTGAAAATATATTGGAGACGATCGACTTTGATCTAATCTCGATCGACCCCTCACATCCGACATGCAATCGGAAGTGGGAGGCTTATAATTAATCTTAATAAGCCTAAAAATAATTAGTTAAAAGTAGGGGTGGGAATGAGCCGAGCTCGGCTCTTTTGGCCAACTCGAGCTCAAGCTCGAGTCCATGTTGCCGAGCTTGAGCTCGAGCTCATCGAGCCAATTTTTTTTGGCTCGAGCTCGACTCACTTAATTTTTTTTTTTATTTAATTTTTTTATTAAAATCATTTAATTTTTTATTAAAAAATATTTATAGGAATATAAAAAAAAATTAAAAAATAAATAATGAACTCTAGTTATATATATTTTTTTAATTTTTCCATTATATTATAATATTTTATATTATTATGAATTATTTAAGTAATATAGATTTGTTTCTATTTAAATACTAGAAATATTTATTATTATAGACTATTTACTATTAATAATAAGAATAAGAATAAGAATAATATATATATATATTTGTTCTACAGTATATAAAGCTTGGCACGAGCCCCAGCTTGATTAAAAAGATAATAATAAAATATGCACAAAACGATCGAGTTGTTCGACTCGAGCTCAACTTGTGTTCAACTCGATTAAAAAACTTGCTTGAATTCGACTCAATTGCTTATTTAATTTAGCACGTGTTCGCGTGGGTGTTCATCGGTGGATCGAGAAGAGTGTGCCGAAAAGAGAAATAGGGCAACCATACATAAATAATGTCCAGGGCGAGGGCCTTGACTCATAACTCATTACACCCATCCATCATCCATCTTCCCTCATTATCTTTCATTTCATCACCCCTCATTCTTTTATCCTTACACGCCATCGCCTTCATGTTGTTTACTCCTATTTTGCAAAAAAGCCGATCCAACAACCGGACGAGACAACTGTTGAAGAAAAGAAAAAGAAACAAGCCATGAAGCAGGCCAAGAAGAAAGAGAAAAAAGACAAGAAGGAGACGAACTGGATCGGACGCGAGATTAAAACTCGTGTCCGCCTGAATTTAACGTGGAAAAAGAAAATTTGCCGTGAAATTGTGAATCAGAGGAAGATTGGACAGGGGAAGACGAAGAATATTCGACGCTTCTAGTTACAGCACCGTCACTAGGAGAAGAAGTAAACGCCGACGTTTCGTTTTTTGTGTTTTTTATATGCTTTCTTTTCTTTCATAGTTGAGTCGAGTCGAGTCGGTCTGAGTCGAGTCGGTGTGTTGGTTGTTGAGTCGGGTGTTGAGTCGAGTCGGTTTGTTTGACTTCTTCGGTTGTTAAATCTAAATCGAGTCGGTCTTTTTAGTTTTAAAAAATGGGCTCTTTGATATAACACAATCAATACTTCTTTTAATAGAGAAAGACCCAAACTATTTTGCACCATCTGAGAAAAACCCACTCCGAATTTCAGCCACCCATTTTTCCATTTATGTCCCTCCACCTTATACATCCCCATGACCCATTAGTCCACTATCCCCATAACCGTGTCTTTTTTTATATATATATTATTATTATTATTATTTTATTATTATTATTATTATTATTATTATTATTATTATTATTATTATTATTATTATTATTATTATTATTATTATTATTATTATTATTATTATTATTATTATTATTAATTTATTATTATTATTATATTTTTTAATATTTTTTTTTAATTGTTTTGAATTTTTTTCGTTTTTTAACTTTTTTTCTCTATCAGGGATGTTAATCGACTATGAAGCATATTAAATCGATGATGATTCAACCGTTGGTTCACGATTTGTGTTATAATGAATGTTAATTGAGTATGTCTCATACGTGCCATGAGTTGATTTATAAGTGATACGTAAAATTTTTAGATATAAGGTTCACATAATATTTTTCATCATCTAGTACGACACCTCTTCCTTACATGTACTTTTTTTTACAACTTGAGATTTTCTCGCTTATACCGATGGTTAGAACCGATGATGATTCAACTGTTGGTTCACGGTTTGAGTTATAATGAATGTTAATTGGGTATGTCCCATACGTGCCATGAGTTGATCTATAAGCGATGCATAATATTTTTAGATATAAGGTTCACAAAAATGCTTCAAGAGTCGGTTCACGGTTTGAACCAATGATGATCCAACACACACACACACACACACACACACATATATATATATATATATATATATATATATATATATATATATATATATATATTTGTTCTACAGTATATAAAGCTTGGCTCGAGCCCCAGCTTGATTAAAAAGATAATAATAAAATATGTAATAATAAAATATGTACATAAACACGCTAATTTCTGCAATTATATCGGATGAAGAGCAAGTGGATTTTGTGCAAGGTCGTAGTATAGCTACCCCGCTGTGCTAGTCTAGGAACTTACGGGGAATATTCCTCGTCACGTGGCCGGGGGAAACTTGGTGCTCAAGTTATATATGTTGAAAGCATATATATGATAGGTTGGAATGGCGTTCTGTTTTGCGAGCGCTACGTGCATTTGGATTCTCCCATTCAGTCGTGGACCTGATATATCGAGTAAAATACGTCAATATTTTCATTGCGTAATTAAGTAAAAAAATTGTTACCTTCGATTTGACAAGTAGCTTGAAGAGCATGAAACGGAAACAAAACCCCTGTTTTCCCAAGAATTGCCACAACACAATTCAATGGTGGATTGGATATAAAAAAATCACACGTATTGAAATTTTAATATAAAAAATATATTAACACTTTCTCCTCGTCCCGATTTCTCAATAAATTTTGTCTGGTTTCGAAAATACTTCAATTCTGTATAACAGTTTTCAGTTTTTGATTTGTATAGAATATGATATATATATATATATATATATATATATATATATATATATATATATAAACAATAAAAATAATAATAATAATAATAATAAATTTATAAAACAATAGAGGAATAAAAATGAACTGACCTGACACACTGTGCAAAGGCGCACACACCGTAGAGAAAGGAGTTGAGGTAACTGCCTCTTCCCTACAATTCCATACAATTTCCATGCTATCCCAACATTATACATATTCAAAACCCAACATCTCCAACAATTTATTTTTCTTCTATTTAACAATGGCGTCATTCCAATATTCCCTCTCCTTCAACCTCCCACGCCGCCACCCTCCTTCTTCCCTCTCCTTCAACCTCCCACGACGACACCTTCACGTCGTTTACTTCCATTGTCCGGAGAAGCCGAATCAACAGGATGACAGAAGAAAAAAAGAAGAAGCAGAAGAAGCAGGAGAAGCAGGAGAAAGCCCTGAAACAGAAGAAAATAAGAAGAAGCAGGAGAAAGCCCTGAAACAGGCCATGAAGAAACAAAAGAAAAAAGAGAAGAGGGAGTCGAAGAGGATCGGACGCGAGATTAAAACTCGCGTCCGCCTCAATTTCACGTGGAAAAAGAAACTACGCCTTCAAATCGTCAATCACAGGAAGCTTGGCCAGGCAAAGACGACTGGACGCGTTAAGTTGCAGCATCGTTGGACTTGCGGGAAGAAGTAACGACGCCATTTCCTTTTTGCGTTTTTCATATTTTCTTTAGTTGTTGAGTCGACTCGATTCGACTCGGTCTGAGTCGACTCGCTGTTGTTTGTTGAGTCTGTTGTTGAGTCTGTTTGAGTCGACTCGTTGTTGTTTGTTGAGTCTGTTGAGTATGTTGTTGAGTCGACTCGCTGTTGTTTGTTGAGTCGGTTGTTGAGTCTGTTGGTTGTTGAGTCTGTCCGAGTCGACTCGTTGAGTTTTTTTTTTTTTTTGATAAGGTCGACTCGTTGAGTTTGACTTTTCTTCGGTTGTTGGTCTTTCGAGTTTTAAAAAAATGTCATATAATTCCTTTTATTTCTGCATGATTTCCCTTTTATTTTATTTTTTTATTTTTTTTTCAAACGCACAATACCCAAACAAAAATTACAGATGAGAATAAAAAAATCATTTATTTAATTAATTTATCAATTCAAATTAATAATTAATTATCAATTAAAATTTTAATAATATTATGGTTACTAAATTAAAATTTTATTAATTACATATAAAAAATAATTAATTATTATATCGTGTTCTTAGATTGGGGTTTTCCACCGTTGTAAATTCATCACCGATTTTGTTTTTCTTCAAAAGCTTAAAAATTAAAATATCTGAAGCAAAAATGGCGAAAGAAGATTGTTGATTCTCCTACCTAATGGCTACGATCTCCGCCACACATTCCTATTTCCGTTTCCAACAAGCTTGCCGTCGTTCTGCTCCAGCTCCAGTTTATCGCACTCGATTTTCTCGCCCATCGGCTTCCATGGATTCCGGCGACGAGCTCAGAGCAAAATTCATGGAATTTCCTTACGCCTCTGCTCCGCAAAGAGATCTGATGGTGGAGCTGTTATCCTCTGTGGAGACACACCTTGGACCCTCGCTGCACCCTTGTACCCTACCGTCCGATGTACAACACTTTGGGAATCCTGATGGTACTGCCCATGCTTCTATCCACCTCAGATCCGGCCTTCCTTCTTCTCAGGTAGCTTCTCCCGCTCTCTGTTCTGTTTTTTTTTTTTTTTTTTTTTTTTTTTTTAATTTAAAAAAAATCTTAAATTGGATACAAGTTAGGTATGTAATCGAACTTGAAATCTGTTGCTGTAATCGATTATAATGAAATTAAATGTGAAAATTTTGCTGTAATCGAACTTGAAATCTGTTGCTGGAATCCATTATAGTGAAACTAAATGTGAAATTCTGCTGTAATCGAACTTGAAATCTGTTGCCGTAATCGATGAACTGGATTTGAAACTCATTATAATATGAATTTATCCCAACTTCAATAAATATATTCATATGATTTGATAATACCATTAGGCAAGTGAGAATTCGATTTCGAAACCGATCATAACAATAGAAGGATCGGTAGCACGTTCGAATATCAGCATCGTAAGAAATGTCACGTTTCATATAGCTTCTCAAACATCATCGAATTCTCTAATCCAGTAAAAATTCTCGAAAACTGCGTGTCTGATCAGGTTGAATTCGTATTGGGAGCTGGGATAAACTGCAAGCTGCCATCTGGCGGGGCCCTCAACATCACAAGCCTCTCAGCCTATCTAAAGCCCTCGACCGACGCACCGCACTTTCTGATCGAACTCATCCAAAGCAGCCCGAAATCTCTCGTTCTAATTCTTGATTTGACTCCACGAAAGGATCTCATTTCTTACCCGGACTACCTTAAAACCTACTACGAGGACACTCAATTGGACAGGCACAGGCAGAGCCTCCAGAAGCTTCCGGAAGTAAGACCCTATTATTCTCCGTCTCTTTATATACGTGCAGTCGTTTCTCCGACAGCCATTGTAGTCTCTATAGATGGCGGTGAAAGGATAAGTATTGATGAGATGATACGAGACCATGTGGGCCCCATTGCAAAGGAGGTGCTTGGGTTCTGGATGGAGACGTGCGCTTGTTCGGATAGGCGTACGGGAGAATCGGAGAGGAGTTATTTAGCTGAAAGGGATCGGATAATTAAGACTACGACTATTGAGGTGGATCTTGGCTCGAGTTTTCCGAGGTTGTTCGGGCAACAAGTGTCTGATAGAGTGTTAGGTGTTTTGAGAGAGATCTATGGTGAATAATCTTTGCATTTTTAGTAAAATATGTTTGTCATCTTAGATTATTAGATCAACGTATATGTTTGTGTAGTTCCTACTATCTTGTGAAATTGCTTAAAAGGGAATTGGTATCGACTATCGAGTATTATGCATGAAATCGATGAATTAGGTGGTTGAAAAATCGTGATACAAACGAGAATTCTCAGTCATGTAAGATTAGGAATGGAAATAGGAAGGATCATATTGGAATTAGCAACTTCTGTTATAGATAATGGAAAATTCGGAACTTGGGATTTGGAATGAAAAAATTTGTTCCAAAATCCATTTTTTTGTTGGAATTGGCGGACTTCGTAAAATTTCAATTTTTTAGTAACCTAAAATGTAAAATTTATGAAATGTGATAATATAAGTGTTAATTTTGGGGAGAAAATGGATAATTATTTTCGGAAATGATAATCGGAATGGAAATAAGAATCTCCTACATATTCGAATTCCAATAAAATAAATTAGAAATCGGAACTTTGAAATGAATAATATTTTTTCAAAATCGAAAAAAATTGGATCTAAATTGAAAATTTCATTCCAATTTCCCACGAAAGAAAAGTAAAAAAGGCTAATAGGAAATGACATGATGCTCAACAATTCTTGATGGCGCGCTTACTGCCCCGTACTTGTGTGCAAAAACCGTTTTCTCCAAATTTCTGGTCTGGTTTCCCTCTCTTCAACCGCCGACTTTATACAAATCCTCAACTCACCGACCATTTTCTCTCTCTACTACCATTCTGCCGGAAAAATCAAGATCTGAGGGCCTTAAAATCTCTTTTAATATTACATGGATTGATTACTCATCAGCCTTTAATTAAACAGTTCATTAGCCAATGCTGTAATGTGGGTTCCCCGGATTTAGCTCTTTCCGCGTTCAAAACAGTCGAAACACCAAGTCTTTACTTGCAGAATTTACTTCTCAGGACTTTATCCGACAATGGGTTGTTCGAAGATGTGGTGCTTGCTTATCGAAAATGTCGAAATTCTGGACTTTCGTCGGATAACTATACGTACCCTTTCGTGGTCAAGGCATGTGCGGTTTTATGCGATGTCCGGTTCGGTAATATGGTGCATTGCAGTGTTTTGAGGACTGGGTTTGGGGAGAATCTGGTTGTGCAAACTGCGCTTCTGGATTTTTACTCAAAAGTTGGTGAAACGGGGAATGCACGTAAGCTGTTTGACGAAATTCCTCAACCAGATTCAGTTGCTTGGAATGCGTTAATTTCTGGATATTCTCTTAACGGGCTTGATTACGAGGTTCTTAGGGTTTTTCAGGACATGCGCTTCGTGGCTGTGAAGCCCAATGCTAGCACGTTGGCGAGCATATTTCCAGTGTGCTCCCGTGCCGCAGTTAATGACATTGCTATTTCTTTTCATGGATTGGCTTATAAGCTTGGCTATAGTGAGGATGAATCATTAGTACCTGCTTTAATTTCAATGTATGCCAACTGTGGAGATTTATCGGTTGCTAGAGATATTTTCGATACTTCATCAAGAAAAAATGTTGCCATTTGGAACGCCGTAATATCAGCTTACTCACGGAACAATGAACCCGAAAATGCCCTTTCGATGTTTCAGAAGATGATAACGGATGAAATGAAACCGAATATGGTGACATTTGTGTCTCTCCTTCCCTCTTCGGAGAATCTTGGTATTAGGTGTATCGAGTCCTTCCATACTTACGTAATAAAATTTGGGTTCGAGAAGGAGATATCTATCATCACAGCTCTTCTGTCAGTATATGCTAAACTAGGTAATATCGATTCAGCCGAGTTCTTTTTTCATAACGTACATTTAAAGAATCGCCTATTGTGGAATTCAATGGTTTCAGCATACGCAGGAAACGGTGTATGGGGACAGAGTTTGGATTCATTCTCTCTCATGCAGAAGGATGGTTTCAAACCAGATTCAATTTCGATTATCAATGTTCTTTCTTCATGCTCTGGATTGAAGGCCACTCTGCTTGGAAAATCTGCACATGCATTTACTATCAAGAATGATACCGATTCAAATCTCAACGTGTTAAACGCGTTTTTGGCTTTTTATTGCCATTGCTGTGAGTTGGTATATTCTTTAAGGATATTCGACAGAATGGTTCTAAAAAGTGTCGTTTCGTGGAATACGATGATTTCTGGATGTGTGAATAACGGAGAATTAGAGAGAGCAATGCTCGTGTTTGACCGGATGAGGCAAAATGTAAACATTGATTTGGTTACCCTGATAAGCATTCTTCCTTCTTGCCACGAAAATCCGATTCTTGGTTTGAATATTCATAGCTTTGCTGTAAGAACTGGTTTAACAAGTGATGTTTCCTTATGTAATGCTCTTGTTAGCATGTATGTCAACTGTGGAGATCTCGATTCAGCGAGGCTAGTGTTCGACGATATGCCACGGAGAACGGTGGTTTCTTGGAATGCTATTCTAACCGGCTGTCGTTTGCACAACTTACAGACGGAGGCCATTGAATTGTTCAAAGAAATGACGAAAGAAGAAGATCAAAAACCGAATTACGTAACTTTGCTGAATGTGCTGCCTTCATGCTATACACTTCTTCAAGGTAAATCAATCCATGCTTACGCGTTTAGGAGGTGGATCCCGCTCAAGACCCCTCTTCTCACTTCTCTCATGATCATGTACGCTCGATTCGAAAATTTAGCATCTTGCACGAGGCTGTTTTCTGTTGGAGACAAGACAAATATATCTGTATGGAACACTATTATATCATCACATCTACTCTCCCAAAACGGTGCTTCGGCATTTTCCTTTTTCATCGAATTATTGAGGAACGAAATCGACCCCGATGATGTCACGATTCTCAACCTCGTGTCGGCATGTGTCCATCTCAAGAGCCTGCAAATCTCGAACTCTGCTTTGTCCTATGTTGTAAGAAAAGGGTTCGACAAAGATGTGGCGGTCCGCAATTCGTTGATTGATATGTACGCGAAATGTGGGAGCATCTCCACTGCAAGGATGCTCTTCGAGGAGTTGGGCCCACAAACGGACCCCGTTTCTTGGAGTGCGATAATAAACGGGTACGGATTGCATGGGGATGGAAAAGAAGCCCTCGCCCTTTACTCGAGGATGAAGCTACTGAATCTGAGGCCCGATAAAGTCACCTACACGAGTATTCTATCTGCGTGCAGCCATGCCGGTTTGTTCGAGCAAGGCTTGATGGTTTTCGGTGCTATGGTGGGTGACGGTATATTACCCGGTGTCGAGCACTACGGTTGCATGGTAGATCTTCTTGGCCGAACGGGGCGTTTGGACGAGGCGTACGAAATCGTGAAGAATTTGCCGAGTGGAAGTTACGTAAATGCCCTTGAGTCGGTGTTGGGTGCTTGTTTGAGCCATGGGAATTATTCTCTTGGAGAAGAAATAGGTAGGCATCTTCTTGATGTGAAGAATATTAAAGATTGTGGGCCTTATGTAATTCTGCATAATATTTATGCAGCTGCTGGGAAATGGGTGGAGGCTAATAATGTAAGGATGGTAATGCAACAGAAACAGTTCTGTAAAGATCCTGGCTTCAGTTTTGAAGTATAGTTTGTAAGTTAGAATATTTTTTTTAATATTAAATAATTTAACATATTTTCTTAGTATTTTTTTTTTTGAGTAAATATTTTCTTAGTATTTGTTTGTAAGTAAAATGTGAATTTACAATACTTTGCTTAAAAAAAGAAGGGTAAATAAAAATTAAAAAAAAAAAAAAAAAAAAAAAAAAAAAAAAAAAAACTGAACTTAGGCTAAATAACGAAAAACACCCTCACTTATTTGTAATTATCAAAATCCCCCTCTGACTAACTGTTGACGAGTTTTTTAACATAAAATTGAATTAGTCTATTATAACTTCTGTTATAGGTGCGACATAAAAGAAAATATTAGAAATTGTGTAAAGTCAGAGTCCTTAAAATAGAAAAGATTTCATGAAAAGCTACAGTGTATGTGTTGGTGTAAGATGGAAATAAATATTAAGGGCATGTTTGGTTTCATTTCTAAAACCAATTTTTAGTTCTCTACTATTCATAAAACCGAGATCATGTTTGTTTTACAATTTTATCCAGAAAATCTCAATTTTTCTTATCAAATTTCTATTGAAAATACACTATTCATATTATTTTTTTCAATTTTCAAACCTATTAAAACCTACTACTAACCTATATATTTTATTCCATCAACTCATTTCTATCTCCTCATTAATATCTACACTTTATTTCCTCCCAATTTTCGTATCTACTACTACTACTACTACAAATATAATAATAATAATAATCAATATTATCATCCTCAATCATTATATTCCACTTTTACACGTACTTTCGTAGAGAAAATTCAACGCAACCAAACATATTTTCATTTCTACACCTTCATAAAACTAAAAATTCTCCTTCATGCAAACATATTCTCATTTTCTACACAAAAACCAATAAACTACTTTTTCCATCAGAAATTTTGAAAACTAGAAATTCTCATTGAAAACATAAACAAACATTAAGGGGTTTGTTAATTACGAATAGGTGAACGTGATTTTTGTAATTTAACCTAAGTTTCGGGGGTTTTGCGTAATTTATCAAAAAAAGAAAATAAAGAAAAAATAAAGTGTCCCTACTTATTAGTATTTCTTATTATATAATACAATTTTGTTTTCCGAAATCGTCATCCGAATAGGATATTCCCGTCACGTGACATCATCGGTTCAAATATCCTCGCCGGGGACTGTGCGTGCAAAGGAACAAAACGTTAGGGAGTGGAATGCAAATTTACCTTATTTTTGGTCCTCGCTATAATAAAGAGAAAACGAAGTGGTGCCCGTCGGCCGTCGGGAATTCCGAAGGCAACCTGAACAGTAAACGAAGCGAAGAGCAAAGTTTCGGCGGCGATTCTGCAAACGAAAAGATATACGAAATGGACGCCACCGAATCTCCTCTGTCAACATCTCCTTCGCCGTCGTCTTCCTTCAGGTACTATTTTCACCTCTCTCTCTCTCTCTCTCTGAATTACATTGTTGTTTCATGTGTTGGCTTTCCGCTTCTTTTATCACTTGGAGAATCGGTCAAAAATTGATGTGATTTATCTGTTAATTTTCAGTCCACAGCGCCATTTCTACCTTGCTGTTGACAGACTCCAATTTAAGATGGTTCTGAACAAACCTTTCAGTACATTTTTGTGGCTCTTAATTCTGTATATTAATTCCAATTACTGAAAAAAAATTGGGGAAAAAAATTTCACAGGAAACTCTAGTGGATCTCTTAGGCATGGCTGGGCGGCGTCCTTGCCTTCCAATGGTTGTTTGTTGCAGCACTCGTGATGAACTCGATGCCGTCTGCTCCTATGTCTCAAATCTGTCGTCTTATATTTCCGTTTCGTCGCTTGTACGGAATGCTTTTTTGTATTTTTTTCTGGAACAAATTATGATTACGGTTTTTTTTTTTTTTTTTTCTGTTGTAATTAGAATCTATTATACAGTTTCTGAAATTTCTAGATTGATCTTGCAGTATAGTGACCTTTCTGAAGCAGATAGGGCGCGTGTACTGGATAATTTTAGGCAGGCAACTGTGAGATGGAATAGGTTGGGGAGAGAGGAAGAAGCTGATATGGAGGTGGAAAAGGAAGAGGAGAACAAATCACAATTGATTGTTGTGACGGATGCCTGCCTTCCTCTTCTTGCCTCCTCGGAGTTGCCTGTTTCTGCTCGTATTTTGATCAATTATGAACTGCCAAACAAGAAGGTATATGTTTGTAGCCATGTTTTTTGTGACCTTTCCCCCCCGAGAATTGTGGTTTCTGTTTTCAATGTTGATTTATGGATTGATTTTTCGCTTGAACTAACGCATATAGACATTCGATTATGCCGTAAGAAGGAATAGTGGCTTCTTGTATGCACTCTGTTACAGAATGTCTTTACTAAATGGTACCAATATCTCCGGTTATTGATCTATGCAACGGAAACCACATTGTACAGCAGAAGGCAAATTCAATATTCATCTAGAATTGACTTCGAAATACATCTATTTATGTATAGAATTTGCAACAGAGGAACAACACTGGTGATACTTCTGTGTAATTTTGATACACATACTTGTTAGATAATTTAATTGAAATCAAGTCTCCAACAAAATTTATACGTTCTGCAACAGGAGACATATATGAGGCGCATGGCTGCTTGTCTCTCAGCAGGTTCGTCTTCAATTGAAGGATTATGACTTGGCCAAAGAGGGTGAAAAAGATTGAAGTAACAAAATGATTGCGTCCTTACTTTCTTCTTCGAAATCAGTCATGCAAATACTAGAAATCAGTTTCAACTTTTCCGTCTTTCATATCGTAGCATGGTTTTTACTCTTACATTTAAATGGTAACCTTGTTGCTTTTTTTTTTTTGACTGTATAAAGATGGGATAGTGATTAGCATGGTTGTTGGTGGGGAAGTGGTTATTCTTAAAAGTCTTGAAGAAAGCAGTGGTCTGTTCATAGCTGAAATGCCTATACACGTAAGTTCTTGTTCATGTTTCATTTACGCCCTTCTCGTATCGCATTGATTTTTAAGGTGGTGTTAAGAAAATTACCGTCATTGCTTACAATCACAACAACTAACATTGCCTTTCAGTTTTGATAAATTTAATTTCTCGTATATGCTATTTGATAACTGATAAAATGTTTGCTTCGAGCAGATTTTTGAGATGATTTGAAAATATCAACCCTCTTGGATGCCAGAAAATATGTAAGGTTTGTAATGTGTACCTTCTCAATAATTTTCCGTCTCGTAATATATCACGTTTGGTTCAGCTTGATATCATTACTCTCAAAATGTGTGCATTTAGTTTTTTTGTATGTTTAGCCTATCTCAATTGCTGACTATACTATTTTATATGTTTCGTTTACGATGAAAATGCAGTTTCACGTATCTAGGTTTTAAAAAATGGCTGGTAGGCAGAAATGGTGTATAAGGCCATAAGGGGAAGCATAGGCATCATAAGAACTCATTCTTGAAAAAGGAAGTTGAAATGCTCATGTATTGGCTATATCCTTCACATCTTATATGTTTCGTTTACTTTGAATCTTCGAAGTTGGATTGTTGCCAAAAAAAATGAGAAGGCCAAATTTGGATAAACCATGCGGCAATTCTCTGTTTGTCAAAGGGTTAAATCAATAAGGATTGTCATTCGTTCTCCTCGTGTTTCCTCACTACCAAACAGCAATAAGTATTATCCTTTCTCAGGTGGAAGAATTCTATCATGTTTCATCTTTCATAAGGAAAATAGTCTTTGGATTTCGAATCATGTTAGTAAAATATATAGATGTGAAACTACGGTTTCGGAAATCCATACTTGATGGCAGCTATAAGCAGGCAACACTTGATCATTTAACAAAAAAATACGTAAAGAAGAATAAGATAAATCGTCATCCTAGAGAACTGACTCATTCTTCTATTTGGGCTTCTGTCTTCACCTCTTATTATTTCATGCCCATCAAATTTAAATTTCTCGGAGTCAATGTGTTGCAGCTAGCAATAGTTGGCTTCAATTGTTACCAGGGTTTGTATTTTACTTTATACTTTGATTGCCAGCATTATTCTCCTTGTGCTCCTTTTGATGATCAAGGCTTAAATAAATATCTGTATATCCTGTAAATAGGAGACATGTTCCTCCAAAATTTCCATCTTTGAATAACCTTTGCTTCATATGAGTCATGTCTGCATCAACATACTAGGGTTAGCGGGGACCGCCACATATACATTACGAGTGAAGTTCGTTTTCTGATGCTTCTTTTTTTGGTAAAGTTTCGATTAGGCCCACTTCTGGTCCTGCTGAATGATCTTTTGCATGTTCTTGAGCAGGTTTCTCAGTCTCAGCTTTAGGTCCCCACTGACTGGTGAAGTGTAGCTTTTCTTAATCTCATCTAGGGCTTATCTTTTCTATTTTCCAGTTGCGTATAGCTGTAGGAATCACTAGAATTTTATCCATTTATGGAGAATCGTAATTCCTCTCTCCTAAGCACTTCCGTTGAGAGTTGATAGTTGATAATAAATTTGGTGGCTCGTGTTGAAATCTCATCCACTTGGAAATTGGCAGGTGGGGGAAAATGATTATAGGGTAGTTGAAGTTTTTTAACTTGGTTTTTGCCGAGTATAGAACAATGAATTTGTTAGAACTTGTTTAGCTCTAATTTAGAATTTCATATTTACGACACCGGCTTATGATACGTTGCTATGTATAGTTCTTTCATCCACAACTTTAATACCTTTTTTTAATTTTCTCTTGCAGCAATTATGGAAGTATCTCAAAATAGTCAAAGAACTGCTGGATTATTTTGAAATGTGATGAAGTGTCAAGCACTCGAACATGGCCTTTTCTCATGGTAGCCTTCGTTTGATATCTGCTAGCAAAAAGTAGGTTAGCCCTTTCTTGACGAAATAAATGGGAAAAAAAAAATCTTTTTCGACGGTGAAATTTTCCATGGATCTATCAAGGCTGTCTATTTAGAGTAGAACAGAGTCAAACAATACCGTCTTAATTTGTTAAATGGTTCATTGTATCTTATTCTACATGTTCAAATTAGAAAACTTCAGCATCTTTTCGAATTCGGTATGAAATTGACGAGTCAGAAGCTTTAGTTTTCATGTTAGAGACACCACATGTGAAGTTTTGTCCCTGTTTTGCCCGTTTCGAGCAATTAAACTGGAGAGGTAGGCATATAAGAAAGCAAGATCTTGTCCGGCTTTACGGAAGTAAGACAGAAAAATAGGAATAATGAGATATGGTCCCCTATATTTTGTTTACGATCATATATTGGTCAATAATGTTTGTATTATTTCTGTTGCACATCGGTTTCCATTAAGGTAATGATACGTAACTTTCGGTGGCCTACCTCTCTGATAATTAAACACTGCACTCCGACCGAGTTTGCTGTATCGAAAGGAATCCGATATACAAGCAGTGGGTACTGATATTTAGATATTTATCTCAACTACTGACGTGATCATGCAATTTCGACAGATTTATCGAAATTTGCTGATTATTATTGTTATTATTATTGTTTTTTATTTTTTATTTTTTGCTAATTTGGGGAAATTTTCTTTAGAATAACATGAATTGAACTGGAAAAATGTTTTGATTATTGTATTCTCCTTGGCCTGAAAAGAATCTCCAGATGGATTGATATACATACAAGTATTATATATATATATATATATATATATATATTGTGGAAAAGTGACAAAAGAGAAGGCGCGCCTTTCTCTTACATGTACTCGTGCGTCGTTTCAGACTTGCAGCGTGGAGTCGCACGTGAGGTACTGATCCCAGTCGGATCCACATCCTTTTAGAGTCCGTGGCACGTGTAATGCATGCTACTACAAGCCCCACTTGTACGTAAAACTGTATGTAGTTGTAATAAGCGGTATAACTCATGCATAAACCACTTTGTACGCACGCATTCACAATGAATGTACGCGTGAGCGCTCTCAATTTTTTGGTGCAAAACAAGTTTTTCACAAAAAGATATTTCTGATATGCCACGTGTAAGGAAGATTTAAAAAAAAAAAAAAAGGAAGGGTTAGACTACAAACAAGACAGAGCTTTCTTCCCAGTGATGCCACCTTCCACCTTATCCTGCCTACATCTGTTCCTACACCACCAAACTCTTCCAAGTAAAAACACACATTTTCTCACCTTAAACACACACACATCCACAGCAGGCGGTGTGTGCGTGAGAGAGAGAGTGAGAGAGGACATAGATATAGATAGACATGCATATATCTTTGGATTTTTATGTTTCCTAAGGTTGAAGCATTTCATGTTTTTGGAGTTATAAAAATAGCCCCCTCAACCACCCCTTTTTTCTCATGTGCTTCAAATTCAATTATTTACTTCTCTAATTTCCAGAGACCACAAAATTCATTTCTTGAGTATATATTAGTTTCCATGGCAGCTTCACCAACTTCTTCTCCTCTACTTCTCGCCGAACAAGATTCCGAGCCTTCCCATCTCTCTTTATCAGAGGTTACAAAACTTGCACAATCAACCTTATCCATATATTTGTCTCTATAGTCTATATATATATCTCATGTTCTTGTCTGTATGTATGTATGTATCTCAGGTGATGTTAGAGATAAAAATGATATACGCAATCGCGTTCCCGATGATAATCACCGGCCTACTAACCTACGGAAAATCCCTAATATCAATGCTGTTCTTGGGGAAGCTAGGCAAGGAAGAATTAGCCGGCGGCTCCCTCGCAGTCGGGATAGCCAACATCACCGGTTATTCCGTAATATCGGGGTTAGCTTTGGGCATGGAGTCCATTTCTTCTCAAGCCTTCGGGGCCAAGCAACTGCCACTCATGTACCAAACCCTACAACGCACTGTCGTCATTCTTTTATCCGCATGCATTCCGTTGTCCATTATGTGGCTAAATATCGAACCGGTTCTTGTTTTCTGCAAACAAGATCCCGCCGTTTCCGCCATAGCCGCTACTTATCTCAATTTCTGCGTGCCGGATCTTTTTTTCCAGTCGCTTATAAACCCGGTCAAGATTTATCTCCGGTCGCAAAACATCACTCTCCCTCTTATTTCCGGCGCCGGTTTCTCTCTCTTTCTGCATGCTCCGATCAACTATTTTCTTGTCGAGAAATTGAGCCTTGGTGTGAAGGGGGTTGCTTTGGGGGTGGCAATGGCGGATTTTGTTCTTCTTGTTACGTTGGTTGTTTATTTGTGGTTTTGGCGGCGGAATGTTCAGATGAAATGTTTGTGGGCGGGGTGGAGTTTTTTCGACCGGGAATGGAGGTCGATTCTAAGGCTCTCTCTGCCGAGTTGCTTCTCCGTTTGCCTGGAGTGGTGGTGGTACGAGATTATGATACTCTTGTCGGGGGTCTTGCCGAACGACGCCGCCGCCGAGGCGGTGGCGACCATGGGGGTTTTGATCCAGGCCACCTCCCTCGTCTACATCTTCCCGGCGGCGCTGAGCCTCGCGGCGTCGACGCGCGTGGGGAACGAGTTGGGCGCCGGCCGCCCCGGCCGGGCGCGGGCATCATCCGCCGTGTCGTTCCTCTGCGCGGGCCTGACGGGCCTGGCGGCAGCGACGTTCATGGTGACACTCGGCGGCGCGTGGGGGCGGGCGTTCACGGAGGACGGGGCGATAGTGGGGCTGACGGCGGCGATCATGCCGGTGGTGGGGATGTGCGAGCTGGGGAACTGCCCGCAGACCGCCGGGTGCGGCGTGCTGAGGGGCACGGCGAGGCCGACGGTGGGGGTGCATATTAACCTGGGGTCGTTTTACGGGGTGGGTTTGCCGCTGGCGGTATTTTTGGGCTTCGTGATGAAAATGGGGTTATTGGGCCTTTGGTTGGGCCTATTGGGAGCTCAGATCGTCTGTGCCATTCTTATGGTGTGGGCGTTGACCAAAACTGATTGGGTGGTGGAAACACACAGGGCGAAGGAGTTGATTGGTCTGCAATTTAATCATCAAGATGAACAACATCAAAGAAAAATGTTGTGCTGATTCTTGAACTCGTATTATTTTCTTCTTATTATAAACAACTTGCATTTTATTTATTTATTTATTTTTCTTTTCTTCCTTGTAAATAAATAAATTTTATAAGAAGAATAAAAAATGGCCCCATGAATTCAAAAAAGCAAAAGATGCCAAATTTTTAGGTCTTCATTAGCATATTCTTTCCACCACTACATGTACAAATTACAATCAATAAAAAAAAAATTTTAAAAAAAATCTCTCAATCAACCATAGAAGTGAACCAAAGAATTAAGAACAAAAGGGTAAAAAAAAATGGCTATAATGTTCTGCATAGAGGTATTGAGTACAAACAGGGAGATGACGGTGGAGGAGTTCAAAGCGTGGCTGAGCCGCTTCGATGCCGACAAGGACGGCCGAATAAGCTGCGAAGAGCTGAACGAAGCAATAAGCAGCCTCCGCGTATGGTTCGGGTGGTGGAAGGCTCGCCGTTGTATGAAGGCCTCCGATTCCAATAGAACCGGCCACATAGACAGCGCCGTAGAAATGGAGAAGCTCGTTCAATATGCGCAGCAGCAGTTGCATATGAAGATTTATGACTATAACGATGACTATTAATGATCATCATTTTTTTTAAAGTTTTTTTTATTTTTTTTCGGGTGTTGGTTGTGCTAAGAGATCAAGCTATAAGTAATTTGATGCTTTGTCTCTTTAATAATATATTTTGAGTTTCTGGTACGACGTTCGACTTTTGCACCGTGATCAATACGTGTGTGGGTGCTTGTAATTTGTTAATTTGTACGTTTATTTGCGATTTCTACAAGATCGGTCGATTGCAATCGATCTTCTTGTACTTTTTTTCATTGTCCGGCGTCGTTTTTGCATGCTAGATGAAGCTCGTGAAATTTCATGTAAAGTATTTTTTATTATTTAATTGGTCGAAATACTTCTCGTTGTAAAGAAGAGCAAATTTTTCGATTCAGTGAAAATTTTAGATAAACTTACTATTTACGAAAATCGAAAGTAACTCTCGTATATTTTCGTTTTGGGCATACGAAACTACTTGAAAATAAAATACAATCGAGTTTTGGGCCATACGAAACTATTTTGAGTTAGTTAATCCTGCTCTGCTGCATATATTTGTTTTATTTTACATCTCAATGTATAGATAATTTAATTGATTTTAATTTCCTCCCATAAATAAAAGAGAAAGAAGAATATTAAAATTGTAACACTACGTATATATGTATGTTATCTTGTAGAATATATATATGATGAACTAAAGTTTTTGCAAAGCTTTTTATTGTTAACAGTCTAACTCTGATTTGCACGTGTTTCATGAGCAATCTTAACTTCTTTGTAGATGCTACTAGGGGTGTTCGTTCGATAAAAACCATACCGAACCGTATCGGTATTTCGGTAAACTGAAATTTCGGTACTTGAAAAATTCATACCGTTTACCGATCACCGAACTATTTGGTTTTTCGGTTCGATACCAGTAAAACCGAAAATATGTTTTCAGAATAGAATAAATTGATTTGAAAATTAAAATGGAATTTGGTAGTGGATCAAAGCATACAAAATATCTCTAAATTCTCCACTATTCAAAAAAAGAATCATATATTATTAACAATAATTAGTGTTGCTTTGTTGAAAGCATCTATTCCCATGGGCCAATTCCTTATGACTGAGTGATAAATAATTAGATGAAATATCTTATGCCAATTAACGTGCCCTAATTACTAATTAGTGCCTTAATTAGGTTCCTTTTCCAGGTATTTAAATAGCCAAAGCAGCAGAGTTTCTTAAAAATCAAGCACAGCCATTTTCAGATTTAAAATTAAAATTAAATCCACCGGAAACATCTGACATACCGATCGATGGCGATAAGAGGCGGCGACACCGCTCGGAGCGTCCCCAGCGGCGGCAAGTACCAGATGACGGTCGATGAGTTCAAAAATTGGCTGATGAAGTTCGACGTCGACAAGGACGGGCGGATCAGCAGGAAGGAGCTCCGCCGCGCCGTTCGGAGCTCCGGCGGGTTGTTCAGCGGCTGGAAGAGCGGCCGCGGGATGGTGGAAGCGGACGCCGATGGGAGTGGGTTTATTGACGAGCAGGAGATCGATTGCCTTTTGGATTTCGCTGAAACTTCTATGGGTTTTAAGCTGTATTATTGATAATTAAATAATAATATTAATAATAAATAAATAAATAATTGTACTTACTATATGCTTTTTAATTCTCGTTTAATAAATCTAGATAATTCGTGCATGTGTGATAGACTGATAGTTACGTACGGATTGAGTTTTGTGTGTGTGTGTGTGTGTGTGTGTAAGTTATCTATGTTGTTCTTATTTGTTTTTAAAAGTGATTTTGTAGGTATTTATAAATATTTGTTGATTTTTTTTTCCTGAATGTACGCTTTCGATTTACGTTTATACACAATATTTTTGATGATTCGATGTGGCGGTTCTATGTGATTTATTCAAGTTTATTCCAATATAGTTAACTAGGTAAGTCAGCTGAAGCCTCGTTTGTTTACCTATATTGGATAACATTGAATTAGGTGAGATTGGATTGATATCCCACTGACTAATTAATTATTTATTTAGTAAGATGTTTGATTCGTTAGATAAGTTGATATCCCACCGAGTAATTAATTATTTAGTTAGTTAGCTTAATAACACTAAGGTGGTGTTTGCAAAAACTTATTTAAAAGCATAAGTTAGTAATTGCAAGTTAAGTTGGAATTACGTGTTTATTTCTAAATGTTGAGGATGTTTGCAAATTAGCTGAAAAATCAACTGAATTAGAAAAAACAGATAAAATGGTACTTTTAAAATTACAGCTTAAAAGCTTATTTCAAGAGAAGTAAAAGTAAAAGTTTGTTTTGGAAACACTTAAAAACAGATTATGTGTAAAAAAAATAATATGATTAATCAGATAGGTTGACTAATTTATTATCGTGTGTAAATGTACATAAATGAATTAGTGTTGGCGGTCAATTCATGTAGTAAAAAGTCAAACCGAATTTATTTATATTATTTTGCATAAAATTAGTTTTGAAATGAGATATGGGCTTTTTCGTATTATGTAGCCCAATAGTAAAAAGAGGGCACTGGGCCTCTGTTAATTTACTTATTTATCCAGTCAAAGGCAATTAAAATAATATTCCTGCAATATACCAGTAAAAGAAAATAACGTAAATTATTGTTCAACCAAAAGCGCGTAATACTGTATATTTAGGATTAAAAAATAAATAAATAAATAAATGTTATTGTTTTAGTAAAAGTTAATATAAAAATGGGATTCACGTGGTCCCCGAAGGATCCGGGAATTCTCATTGAAAAAAGGATCCAACAAGTCAAAGTTGAGTCAACGGTGACCGCTACACGATATATGCCAGCCAATGTTCCTGGAACTCTCCTCACATCTCACTTCTTATCCTAAATATTTACACTTTCTCTCTCTAAAAGTACAACCGAAAATGACACTTACACACACACACACACCTTTGTGAAAAACAATTAATTAATAAAAAAGAATTGGAGATATAAATTAGGGTTTCAAGTTTATGATTCGAAGTCAATAAGGGGATTAATTATATAAATAAAATAATATGTATAGGGACTAATAGCTAATTAAACTATATATTTGGCATGAAAATGTCTATATATGCATGAGTCAATCATTCAAATAAAAATGGTTTATATTTTATTAAACCTTATTATTCACCAGCTCGGAATCGTTTTGTAGATGCTACATACGGCGAAATATATCGAATGATTCTGTATCATTGATTTACACGCAATAACAAACACACCTATGTGTATGTGCGCTAGCTAGCTTAGCGACTTATTACTTTTGTAAAATCACTCAATGATTTTCATCAGGTGTCTCATCTCATAGACGGCGAGTCAGCCCATACATATTTACCTTCCATAAAATTAAATTAAAAAAAATGTATTACACCTGAAAAAAAATATAGAATAATAATTTAAAAAAATAAATTGAAATCATGTTTTTCCAAAAACAATGAACACAAATATTTAGCTATTGAGAAAGCTGTTGTTCCATACTTGAAAAGGACTCATTGTAGCTTTCATTGCCAGCAGTACTTGAAACTGTTACTCCCAACCATTCATAAATCTGCCATCTTTTTTTTCTTCTTCTTCTTCTCATCAAACACAATATTCATCATCAATTCATTCATATATATATATCATCTATTTATTTATCAAATTAAAATTAAAAATCATTCATCATTTAATTATCTGTCACCTCCATTTATTGCACCTGGTGGATTGATCCACCACCCCCACTCTCAACCATACATGAAAATATGTTATATATATAGTAGACTTTCTTTTTTCTGCTGTATCTAACCCTACTTTAAAAATAAATAAATAAATAAATGTAGTACAAAACAATATTCAAATTTTGAAAAGCCCTCCTTCTTCACCTTGGTCCTTGGCCACATAATTATGTAAGTATTATATTGCTTGTATTTATCCCCACTCTTTTTATAATGTTTATGTGAAATTAAACAAGTGAACTTTTTATAGTTTGTATTATTTCTTTGTGGGAGATAATTAATTAAGTAATTAACACGTTCATCCTTACGGTGTCAAATTTAGTGGAATCTTCTAGATTATGTGAAATATTCTACAGTTTGTATCCGTTTTATCTCATTAAAACTCCACATTTTGAAAATGATCATAAGATGTGTCTCTTTGTAAATATCAGACTGTGGTAATTCATAATTAAACTGCATTTTTGCACAAAACGAGTACAAACTAGAGAACATTGCACAAAATCTAGAAGATTTTGTTAAATTTGACACCATAAAGATGAACGTGTAAGAAAATTCATAATTGAAGAGTAGTTCTAATCACCCAAATATGAAGATTTTTTGTAATTTAACCTTAACTTAGAAGACAACTGTAATTTAAACAATATAATATGCACCAGATGTTTCGTGAATAAATAGATATTACCCCACTTACATCCGTAATCGAGGTGTTCCCACTTGATCGAACTAACTTCTAGATGTTAAAATCCATGTCTCCAAATTTTGAAGGAAAACGGCAGAATAATTCCGAACCCTATTTACCGTTGAAGGAAGTTTGAATCAATAATAATAAAATTATTGTTGTTACTATTATTATTATTTATGTTTTGTAATGGGAAACAAAAAAAAGTTGTGTACTAAGATTTGATTTGGTCAAACGAGTGGTTTTGATTTACTTTTTATGTTATGATTTGAATCCAAAAAAAAAAAAAAAGGAAAAAGAAAAAATAGCCAAAAGAGTACTCTTCGAAGAATGTTTTATAGTAAGGAATCTTGGTCATGGGGAAACCGAAAAACACAAACACTGAGCGAAGTGACAACCTAATTTCGCTTCTTTCCCATGCCCACAACAAATTAAATCTCCCGGTATTTATCCATTTTTCTTTTCAATTAATTTTATAAATAATAAATAATTTCAAAAGATTCCCTTTTTTATTTATTTATTTAATGATTTCTTGTAATAATTACGATTTTGCCATATGGATAATGAATCTAACTAGTAAACACACAGGTTTAATGAACTTTCTTTATATCACTTAAAATAATTGATTGAATATGTCAGGAGAGAGAAAGAAGAGAGAGAAGTAAGTGTACATGAGAAAAAAAAAAGAAAAAAGAAAAAAGGAAGGTCCCCCCTCATCTGATATAAATACAAACATCTACTGCTGCACTGTAACAGCAATAGAGGGTCCCCTGTCAAATTTATTTATTTTAGAGAGAGAAACAAGAGAGAGAGAGAGAGAGAGAATTGATTTTTATAATTTTGAATATTAATTGGGATACAAATTAAATTATCCACCACCACCATATGTTGTTGGGTCTGGTTAGTTTTCCATGGCATGTTTAGAAAAATGTACAACAACCAAAACCCAGAGCACAACAACAACAACAACAACAACAACAAAGCTACTGGGCTGCCTCCTCCCACCATGACTAGCCCTAGAATTTCTTTCTCCAATGATTTTGTCGAGTCATCTCAATATTCCCATTCCAATTTCAATTCCAATTCCAATTCCAATTTCAATTCCCACCGCCAGATACGGGCGGCCGCCGCCGCGTACAGGGACGCGCCGGTGTCGTCGGACTTCGAGTTCTCCGTCACCAATTACTCGATGATGAGCGCCGACGAGCTCTTCTTCAAAGGGAGGCTTCTCCCGCTCAAGGAGAGCTGCTGCAGCAGTAACGGCACTTATAACGGCGGCAAAACCACCACACTCAGAGACGAGCTCGAACAGAACGAAGAAGAAGAGGAAGAGGACGGCGCGGGGGGGAGCAGCGGTAACGGCGGTAGTTTCTCTTTGAGGCCGCCGAAAAATCCGACGCGGTGGAGGGGTTTCCTCGGCCTCAGAAAATCACACATCGGCTCTAAGAAATCCGACAAGTCCGCCGCCGCCGACAAGAGAAATACGACGTCGTCGTATAATCAACATGATGATGTCCAATGCAGCAACAACAACTCCCAGGTTGGTTTATTAAATTCTCGTGTTTTTCTTCTTTGTTTTTCTACATTGTTCTTTATTTTAATTTGTTTTTGTTTTTTTTTTTCTAGGGTTTTGTTGATTGAGGAGGAAGGCAATTAATTAGTTTGGGGTTTTAATTTGTAAAGGGGGGTTTGGCAAAAATTTTGGGGGGAGAAGGCATTAATATAATGTTTGTTGTAATATTATTAGTGAAGTTGGAGTTTTGTTATTGTAGTAGTATGCATCTTCTAATCTTTTGTAGTTTCTTTTGTTAATTAGCTGTTATGGATAATTTTCTTGTGTTTTTTTTCTAACTTTGATTCTTCCATTAATCATAACTATGATAACCTATCATTGGTTCTTTTTTATTTTATTTTTTATTTTAACTTTTTGTGTTCTTAGCTCATTGAAGCCTATAGAACACAAAGGAGGATAGAGAAAAAAAAGAAAAAAAAAACCATCTTGTCACAAGATTTACTTCACAATTATCATTGTATTTTGTATTATTTAAATATTTAAACTATGTGAATTTGAATTGACGATGAATCTGAACCGTACATCTACACGGAATCCACATTACAAAAGACATGATTCATCTCTACTAAATCCTTCTCTATAAAATACATGCATAAATTAGATATTGGTATACTCGATACAATACATTGTATAATAAATTAAAATAAGGAGGGAGTGGGAGCGTGTGGTGAAAGAAGTCAATGGTCAAGATGACAGCTAACACTACAGCTGGTGCGTGTGGCAGAGCATCACGTTGAAGGGAAAAAATTAAAATTTAATAAAAATTAAAAAAAAAAAAATATAGAGAAATTCAAAAAAAATAAGATAAGGAGAAAAAAAAGAAAAGAAAAGAAAAGAAAAAAGAATCAACTGACAAAGTGCAAATGGGTATTCTTACATAAATGTAGAGTGGTGACAGTAAAGTACTGTCCCGAATCCAGTTTCCCCTTTTGGTCAGAAATTCCATGTCACTGCATCTAACCTTCCTCCTCACTTCTCTACTATCACTGTCTCCTCTTCTCTACACTAATTCTTATACATTTATTTTAAATTAAATAAAATTAAAAAAAAAAAACCTCCCTTTTTTCTTTCACATAGTAAATTGTGCTAAAATGATTTTATAAAAAAAAAAAAAAAAGATTGTTCAATTAAAGTTAAGGCATACAGTAACAAAATACTAACAGATAATTAGCTTTAAAAAGCTCTATATGCTGTCTCTCTTTTTCCTCTATCTACTAAAATAACACAGTCTATAATTGTACACATCCAAGAGAGAAAGAAACATTACCAAGGTGCATTAACCTCTTCTAGAAACTTCACTTCGTAGCTCTCCGCTTTCCTTTTCAAATCCTCGATTTCCCGATCGTATTTTTCGCACGCTTCCTTCAATTCGTCTATCTTTATTTCAAGCTTCTTAATTTCATCTTCGGTGAGACTTTTGTCATTCTGGACTTCCCAGTACCGTCTGATCTCGAATGCATCTTCCGAATCGAAGGCCAGAGTTAGTAGGTGATTTAGACGGGCCCGCAAAAAGCCCACGTTCAGGCCCAACAGTTCGAATGACCTCAGCGACTTTTCCCACACTTCGAAATCCTTCCTTGGAGTGGTGAGGTTACAGCTTTTTATACAATCGGCAATTTTGATTGTTTGATCGATTATTCCACATGCTAGCTTGGTGTAGAGGCCTGGAAGGAGACGTTCGTGGAGGTACGCGTTCTTGCTGGAACAGAGTTCGTAGTATTTTCGACGAATTTGTTCCGGTAATTCGGAATCTATGCACACTCCATTCACTACGATGTGAAAATCTTCGAAGGTTTTGACATCTTTAAAATTAAATGAAGATTCGTTGAATTTGGTGCACTCCAGAACTTCTGACGCCACCTCATCGCTGTCGTTTCCGGAATGTTCTTCGGGCTGTTTTTCTGGATGGGACCCAAACGAGGATTCGTTGCGTTTCTTCTTGTGCACAATTTTCAAGGGTAGGGATTTTCGGTGCCTCCTCTTCTTGATTTGCGCATCCATACTTGCCTCTGTTATAACTTATAGTTACCAAATTATTTCGATATTAGGAAAAACGAGCAAGCATTTGAAATAAGCAAAATTGGGCAACAAAACTGACCCGCGTCGTTTTGCTTTGTCTGAGAATCCAAAATTAGAAGGCTAAGAGCACCATCGACCTCCGTCAAATCGTTTGCCCTTATTATGTATACCTACAGAATGCGTATAAAATATTAGGAAAGACTCAAGGCAGGAAGTTTTTTCACAACTCAAAACAAAATTGTACAATCAGCATCCAATGGCACATATCAAGGACGTACGAGTGGAAAACATGCAAATTACTCCTCATGATCAACAAATCCGAAAATTTGACAATTGACACAATTTCCTGTTTTGAAACGAATTAGATGGTTCATAAGAAATGCAGACTGAGAAATTCAATGAAAATTCTACACTCGGAAGTTAAACGAATTTTCTTAGATAGTAGAAAACATACTGAAACGCATCTTTCTGAAAATAAATTTACCGAATCCTCAATGAAAAATAAGACGAGGTGAATGTTAGATAAAAAATTATACCTTAAATCTGCAAGGCCCAATCAGTTGGAAGATCAGAACATCTCCTTCGAGCAATTTGCTTCCAGCAACAAACTTCCTCCATCCAGCACTTAGACCCGTCTTATTCGCGATATATTTAACCGGAAACTCTTCACCATTTTCATTTTCGAGAATGACCATAGTGTCCTCACTAGGTAAATATACCTTGCAGAAAGGCACAGGTAGACCCTGCAAAACAAATGGTACTTAAAGTGGAAAGTCTCTGGTCAAGATAAAATTCCAAGGCGTAAATAATATAAACCCTCCAAATGTACCATCCAGAAACAACTGCCAACATGTGATCTGACTAAAAATTTCAAGAAATTAGGCTGGTCGTTGCTCAGACTCGACTGCACCTCCTCTGCTCGAACCATCGTAGGTGAGTTTGATTGGGCATTGCTTGACCGACCAAATGTGCAATCTACTTTTCTGCTTCAAACATGCAGGTTATTGTGTCATAACAATGTACAGAACGTACTTTCTAGGCAAGGTTTGTGTAGTTTATGTTGTCGAACTAACCTCATCAATGCTGCTGCATGACCTGGCGGCGTAACCTGCTCAGGAAATTTTCAAGAATCATTGAATCAGTGCAAATAAAAAGAAGACAACGATCAATCATGCCAGGCCTCGTTCGGTTGCCAAGATAGGATTAGCCAAGATTAAATAATCTAATGAAACGCAATTGTATTACTGGACCATGAAAGGTCCAAAAAAAAACTCCCTAAAAAAGAAGATAAGACATGATAACATAATATTTCCAGGTTGACCCAGGAAGTTATTGGGTTTATACCAAACATCAAACATAATCCAATTATTTAGTTAATCATGGTTAATCTCCCCAACCAAACGAACCCTCAGTTATTACTTGTGGACGGCTGACTAATATTCATATTTTCTTAATCCAAACCAACATTATGTTGGGGAATCTTATATGCATTCTACCATTTAAGAGAAAGTAATATGATGTAGAATAACTGATTGGTTCTTGCTCTTTCTTGTTACTGTCAAATAATTACATATGTGCTTTCGTTTATCCACTGAGAGCTCTTTCATTAGTTGAACTTGTTAGAATAACGCTCTTGCCATCTAACAATCTTAGCTTATGAAAAAGAACCAGAAAGAGATCGAATTCCACTAAGATAAGCAGCAGGACATTGTAAAATGAAGGAACGAGACAAGATCAAACTTCAATAAGATAAGCTGAATGAATTCAGTGAGAGAAAGTTGGATTTGTTAATAATGATTGGTTAAGAGAGTTACAGGGTTTCATCGCATAAGATTCGTCTTTTACAGGTCATGCAAAAGCATATTCACATGCCCATGTCGCCTATCTCAACTCCAACAAGCCATAGAATAGATTACTATAGATAAACTGTATTACAACAAAGAAGCTATATCGAAAGGGCTCGTGCACCGAGATGTAACAACATCGAAACGGGTTAACCTTATTAAGTTATCGAAAGGGCTCGTGCACCATATGACAAACTGCAATGCAATCAAGCAGTCTACCAATGAAGTACTGAGAACATTAAAACAAAATAAAAAAATAACAGAAAACTCACATCTTTTGATTTAGAAGAAGAGGAATTCTTCTTCCTCACCCGAATAATCGGTACAAAGTCGTCGATTAACTCCTTCGGCTTCCTCTTCCTCTTGCCCTAGAAATCACCAAACCAGATCTGACATCAATTCAGCGTATCGACAAACGCAACATCAAATTCACAGAAAAGAAAAAAAAAAAAAAAAAAACTCACAGAAACAAGCATGGGGTGGAAAGCATTAACCAGAGGGAGCTCCTGGTGCGGCGAATTCTCCATCTCGGGCGAAACGCGAATCTGAGGTTCCTCCTCCATTTCATCAATCTCCAGGTTTTCCCCTTTCATAAGTCGCTGACTCTCTGGACTCTGGTGGAGTATCTTCAGTTTCATTTCCTCTTCAATTTACACTCAGTCGAACAAAGGCAGAAGAGAGAGAAACTCTTCCGGGTTTTCTTTTTTTACAGTAACGACAACAAGTGGTAAGAATAAGAAAAAAAAAAACTGGAAAAATTAGTAAAATTCAGTAAATCAGGCCCCCCGGCGGAAACGGGGATTAGCTTGCAAACAAAAGAAAAAAACCTGTCGGCGTTGTAATTTGCGGCCGGGTGTTGGAAACCTGGACCCTGGAGCCTGGATAATATGCGTGCGAATAGAGCGATCAGGAGCAGAGGCTACTACTATACTAGTACTATCACTTGAGAATCTATTTAGTAATTTCCATTTCAATTTGGAAATTTCATTTTTTAGGAGAAATAAATTGGGGAAAACAATAGGGGTATTTTGGTAATATTTTTTGACTGTGTATTTTGATGAGGTGACCAAAGCTGAAAAAAGACCCTCCTTCACCTTGGTTAGCTGCGACAATGGTGCTGGAATTGCTTTCTAAAATAACTCGATGCATATCATGATCACGAGCGAACTCCATGGTTCTGAGTGCTGCCATTCCCTCTGCTGTTATGAGTAGAATTAGTGATTTTAGTTTAGAATTTTTTTATGGAATAACATTTTAATAGTATTATAACGAGGGTTTAGTCGTATTATAATATCGATTAATAATGTAGTCATTTAAATATGTTATAAATTTTTCGTGTCATTGAAATTTCTAATTAAGTCATTTGTGTTAATACTTAAAAGTGTTTCAAAATAATTTATGTTAAGGAGATTATAAAAGAGGTGAAAATGTTGCAGGTGATATAGAGAGCAAATATAGTACATCCGTCGTCCGAGTCAAATGGGTGTATCCCCGTAAAATACCGAGGTGCATTCGATGCAGTAGTAGAACCAAAGTGGAGAGAGAGAGAACAAAGATCATAAATAAAGGTTTCAAAAGATACGGAGGTTAAATACCTCGAATGGATAGTGTTGATCAAAGCGGTGAAAATCTACGGTCAAGATTGAAGTTCTAAAACGCTCGCATGGTTTAGCCGATCACTTGGGCCGTTTGTGTTGCTGGCCTTGGGGTGTTGGGCCGCCTTAAAGGAGAATAGGTTAATGGGTTGGATTCAATAATCATTGGGCCCAATGCTATATGATATTATTATTATTATTATTATTATTATTATTATTATTATTATTATTATTATATGTGGGACAAGGCTATTTGGATTTTGGACTATAAAAAAAGGTAGTGTGAATTAAAAACGGAAACAACATGGCAAGGCTTGTGCAGCAGCCAACTTGAACCGCACGCCATGCGAGTTACGTGTACCTGCAATGACGTCCGTCCGATGACATGATTTTCTCTAATCGTGACCGTTCAATTTTGCATTTCTTGAGATACAAAAAGACATATGATAATTATATTGACTTCACGCGGCCACACGGTCGTCTAATAATGAAGAAAAGTAGAAGAGAACAGTCAACCAAATTGATTGAAAAATGAAATTAATTAAATATATAATAAAATTAATATACTTTTTCAAATTGGTAGACTTATTTCATATAATATAATATTGTATTAAATACATTTTCTTCTAGTCTCATTCTTATTGGCTCCAACCTCAATTATTAGTTATCTTATTGCCTCCCCAAATGATAAATGATATTTCCGTCTTTCTCTAATTGGATGTATTTTCGAAAAATAAGATATACTATTTCTAAATACGGTTCAAACTTTTTCGGTAATCTGAAGAAAAAAAAAAAGTTACTCTTTCTCATAAAATAATTTAATTTAATAAATAGAGCAATACAAGTTTTTTTTTTTTTTTTTAATTAGTATTTATTTAGTATTGAAATAAGAATCAATTGCTCAAATCTCAATTGATCCCCTTCCCACCAGAAAAATAAATAAATATTTAAATTGTCACGATCATTAGAAGTTCTTGATATCTTGGAAGTATTGCTAAATTAAAATTATTCTTGGAAGTAATCATATGTATTATATAACAAATAACACCTCATTCTGATATTTCTATATGGTTGACGTATTGCTGTCTAATGCTGGCTTGGTTTTCTCAATTTCTCTATCTTTCTTCTTTGAAACTTCTTAAATTAAATCTCTTTTCAAATTCTTCTTCTTCTTCTTCTTCTTCTTCTTCTTCTCTCTCTCTCTCTCTCTCTCTCTCTAACTTTCTCTTGCAACTAAGCATGGCTAGTAGCTTGAAAGATTGGGTCAAAGCATTCTATGTGGTTTTTGCATTTTGCTCCGTCCTCTGTTTTGGCGCCATTAAAAGTCAGTTCTTGAATTTATTGCTTCTATTTATTATTATTATTTTTTTTTAGTTGTTTCTTATTTGATCATTGTTTTTTTTTTTTGTTTAACTGCTGCAGGTTTGCTAGTTGGTCCTATTGCTGCTCTGATACTGAGTTTAGGGAATTTAGGGGTTATTTTTGGCCTTTTCCCTGCACATGTTGCCTGGACAGTTTTTACCCTTATCAAGTAATTATTATTTCTTTTCAGTTTTATTGATTACTTTTTTAATTATTGCAATTGGGTTTTTTTTTCTTTTTTCTTTTCTTTTATTATTAATTTTTTTTTTTAACTTGGGTTTTGCATTTTGTTGAATAAATTTCATGTTAAACAGAACAAACAGGTTTGATGCACCTCTAAAAGTTGCAATATTGCTAGGATTGCCTGCCCTTTTCGCCCTCTGGTTAGCTCTTAGCATAGCTATTAGTGGTCTTGTTGCAATTGGATATGGTTTCTTCACTCCTTGGGTTTCTTCTTTCGAAGCCTTCCGACTCGAACACGAATCCAAATTCTTACATTGCATCGTGGTACGGCGGCGTGATTTAATCTCCGCCCGTTTCTTAATTTATTAATCTCTGTTCGTTTCTTGAAAAATAAATTATTTTTTCGAATTTTTAGGATGGGACATGGGGGACAATCAAGGGTAGTTGTACCGTCGTTCGTGATTTTGCCGACTTATGTTATCATTCGTATCCGCTCTATTTAAAGGAGCTTCGCGAAAATCCCACTTCTAACGAGCTTCAACCTCTTAGGTAAATAAACTTTTTTTCCCAATACATCTTGTCGAAAAATGAAAAATTGATGAATTTTATGTCCGACCGGTTAGACAACTAGCGTATATTTCAAGATTACCATGATTTTTTACGTAAAAATTATTTTCAGGTTTATTCATGTGCCTGCATGCATAATCGTCGGCATTATAGGCCTAGTTGTCGAAATTCCTCTATACGCAGCTATTGCAATAGTAAAGAGTCCGTATATGTTGTTCAAAGGGTGGCATAGGCTATTGCACGATTTGATCAGCAGAGAAGGCCCGTTTTTAGAAACCGCTTGCATTCCGATTGCTGGTTTGACAATAATTATGTGGCCTCTTATTGTCGTGGGAAGCATCTTAATGGCTATTTTTACGAGCTTTTTCATTGGATTATATGGTTCGATAATCGTATATCAGGTTTATATTATTATTATATATATCCTATTCAATAAAGGGTCTTACTTCATTATTTTTTCGTACGATTTAATTTTAACGTACTAATGCAGGAAAGATCCTTCCGGAGAGGTATAGCTTATGTGATTGCTATGGTGGCAGAATTCGACGAGTATACTAATGATTGGCTTTATCTTCGAGAGGGCACAATCTTCCCAAAGTAATAAATTCGATGAGATTTTTTATTTTTTTAAATTTATTTATTAAATTATCTACAATTATGCTTACTAGCTAACTTGAAAACCAGACCAAAATACAGAAAGAAGCGGCAATCAAATTCTGAGCCCTCGGTTGGGAAAAATCAATCTTTACACGACAAATTCAATTCTGTTTTCACCGAATCTCCTGCGATGCTTGTTCCTAGCCTAACAGCATCGAGGTCTGTTAGGGAAGTTATAAAAGAGGTCAAAATGGTGCAGGTACGCCTTTTAACTAATCGCAACCGATGAACGGATATATATACAGTCTTGCATTTAACACCACCTGTGTTTACTCTAGTTGTTTAAAATAATTCCCCCTATTATTCAAACTTATTACCAAATTGCCCCTAAAACGCATCATTTATGAGGTTGTGTAGTGCTAAAAATGCATTATTGGGGTGTTTCTTCTAGCAATTCGGTATAACATAAAGGTACTAAAACGCAATAAAATCAAAGATTCTCGAGTAAATTTTAAAATCTCGTGTTTTATATTTGCAATAACCGATTAACAACGATTTAGTCATATTAAAAAAAAAAAAAGATAAATGATTTGGACAATATTTGATAACAGATATGGGGGAGCATGATGAAGGCGTGCGAAGTGAGAGGAACGGAGTTACTCGAATCGGGAGTGATAACACCAGTGGACCTCTCTGATTGGCTGAAAGCAAAGCATGCGAACGATGCAACCATTGTTGATGTAGGGTTGCCCTGTTTCTCATTTTTGCACACTCTTCTCGACTCCATTAAAGCTGGATCGAACGGTTTGATGCTATTGGACGGTACGGAGGTCAACCATTTGAACAGACCGCAGGATAGACTGTTGGACTGGTTTTTCCACCCCGTGATGGTACTCAAAGACCAGATTCGAGTTCTCGGGTTGGAAGAAGGTGAGGTAAGGTATCTCGAGAAGATGCTGCTTTTTGGAGGTAATAAGGCGCGTGGCAATACTTGGGAAAACAGGAGTTTTCCGTTGGATCCTCTTCGAGCTGCTCAAATTGAAGGCATCAGTCGAAGGTAACAATTTTTTTTCGTAATTACTATTAATTTTCGTACGTTTCGCAATATAAAATCATAATAAAAATATTATACATTCTTGTGAAATCATTTTAATGCATATTATCATTACTTCGTTCGAGTAGTGAATGTTGTAAAAGCCCTTTAGAGAACTTTTTAGGGGGTTTATTGCATTCGGCACCCCTTTGGTTAGTCTAATTGTTAGAAAACTCCTAGTGTTTATCAATATTAGCATATAAACCCTCCCGTGATCCAATTTTATTAGCAAACCACTCCCTAAAAACACACAAAAACTTGGGGGGTTGTGTGTTAAAAAAATTGCCCCGTAGGGGTTTGTTTGCTATATGTAATACCACCAGGAGTTTTTTAGCAATTCAGTATAACAAAAGGGTACTGAATGCAAATAAAGTCGAACTTTTAGTGTGTATTTGGTCCCTACGAAGAAAAAGAAAATACGGGTACCGACTGATTTGGTTTTTCGTTTGCAGAATGATGGGAATGAATAGAAGTATATCGAAGTTTCCGACTTATAGAAGGAGATATCGGCAAGTAGTGAAGGATCTGATTCATTCTATAGGCAAAGACGGTGTTACTACCAAATCGTTAGCAAAGGAGGGTTCGACGAGATCAACTAATTCTTCTTCTGCAACAAAGGAAAGTTTCACTAGATCGATTTCTTCGAGATCTATTGCTTCGATCGAGATAGTTTAAGTGAAAGGTTTCAGTTCTTTTTGTACATTTAGTTTGCAGAAATTCTCACTCTAGAAAAGCTTGCACAGTTTCTTTTTATTTTTTTATTTTTGGATTGTAAATAATATTGAATTAGAAGTATTTGTGAAATGTGATGATTACTAAAGCTGAATTCCGTTGTTTATTTATTATTATAAACTGGATTTTCCAATTCAAATCAAATTATCCGGTATTCCATTCGAGATTGTTTATTAAAAATTCGTTTGAGCTCAATTTGTTAGCATAAACCGAATGTGAATATATAATTTTTGTTCGATGGGCTACAAAGCTCGTATTGTGCTTAATAATTATTAGAAAAAAACAATAAAATATGTTTAAGAAAAATCAAGGTATTTAATGTTATTTCGACTTCAACTCAATTGTTTACCTACGTCGTCACTGATTTGGGACATAAATCAATCAAGGTTTAAGCGAAATTATTAATTTCTGGAAGTTTTGTATATTAAACAAACTTGTCTACATCCGGCTTGTAATAATTATATTAGCCGCTATTTCCCCTTATTGGACGGAAATGGAATATATTAAAGAAAGCATTAAATTAAAGAGTTTACTTTGCTTTCATTACACCTCATCGGGATCCGAAACATGATTTACCAATGAATGTGAAACACTATGATACTCTGTCAAATATCTATATTTTATTTTCCCTAAAGAAAAAAAAAACATATATTAATTTAAGTATTTTGAATTCAAATCATTCAACAGTTTATTTTTCATTATAGTTACTGTATTCAGCGTCTCCTCCACGTGGGATGTGACCTTTTTCCCGACTGCTTTTTTATCACGGTAATGCATTTACACCCTTTGCTTGATAAAACATAATTAAAAATATTTGCCCGCATGGGTGTAGCTCAACTTGTTGCGGAGGTGGTAAATTGGTGTAAGGTCCTAGGATCGAATCCTGACAGCTGCAGTGTGGAATTTCAACTCCAATGATTGTTGGTTCCTTGTGGGCACCACATCCATATATATTATGATTTATGAAGCATTGAAGTAGATAAAAAATAGAAAAATGAATATTATATACTCAAATTACTTTTTCCGAAAATATCCAATAATTAGTTACAAGTGATGGCTGAGTAATAATGTTATAGTAATGAGGGTAGTTGTAGTCACAATTAATTGAATAATTAAAAAGAAAATGGCATAATCACCAGTTGGCATAATTATATATCCTGATGAAAGATTCCCCGCGCACATTAGCACCCGAATCAAATAGGAAGATGCCTCTAGAATCTCTTTGCATGTTCTCCCTTCTTTCTTGTTTTCTTTCTCTTACTTGTCCTAATCATTATCAACACACACACACTCACACACACACACACACACACATACACACACACACACACCATGTGATCAAGACAAACGTTCCCTCCTCAAATCCCAATATTATCTTACACTGAAATTTTTACATTCACCTTTCCTAAACTAATTAAATACCTCTCTCAACATATCTTGTTTTCTAAGTATTATTTATTACTGTAAAAACATCTAGTAATTATTATATCATGTGTTCTTATTCTATAGTTTTGATACTAACTAGGCAATTTAATATTGCAGTGAAAAAATAATAATTTAAACTGTTAAGTGCTACGAGTCTTTAATTTGCTCAAAAGTTTCCAAACATTAATTGAATTTTTCCGAATATTTTAAAAAAAATTGCGACAAGAATCCCGATAATTACAAAAAAATTCCATGCTTTCTGAACTCGAATTCCGATAAAATTAATTTTTTTTTATTTTTTATTATCGTTTCTATCCGATTTTCATCGCCTAGTTGCATGCACCACCATATTTGAAAGAAATTTGACATAAGGATTACATGCAATTGAATTATCTGATCTTGCAATTGGATAAATTACTAAAGTGAAGAAGAAAAACATAGGGAATCAAAGTAGTTGGGGAATGGCCTAAAAGCTGGCTATAACTGTGTAGCTATATAGAGTAAGAAAACTTTGGCCTACCATCCCACCCATGTACACCTCTTTTCACTCTTATATGAGTGAACCCCAAAAACCAAGGACCACTACTTAATTCTCCACATATATATACATATATACACGCACCTATTTTTGTTTCCTTACCTTTGTGTAAAAAGTCTCTCTCTCTCTCTCTTAGTTAACTGATACACACAAATGATTTTTTTTTACAGATACAATATATATGCAGTACCTCCAAGTTGGGGTTAAAGAAAATATTGAAGATTCAAGGTCCACAAATTGAATTAATTAGAAATTCACACACACACACACACACTAGATGGGCACATGGGGTCGGATAATGAACTTTCTCAATCTTCGGCACGTGTCCGTAGCTTACACGGCAAGCTCTCTGCTCTTCTATAGTGTTGCACTGTATACTCTCGCCCCCCCCTCTTTCGAACTGTCACCCCCAAACCAAACGACTCTCACATGCATTTTTTTTTTTTTTTTTTGTGGATTAATTTTCATAATTGAGACAGAAATTAATAAAAAAAAAAATAGTTTGTTGGAATAGTAGTTACATAATTTCAAAATATAGCAAGTTACTAAAAAGGGCACCGAGTGTTGAGAAAAAATGGAAAATTTGGGACAAGTTGGTACACGGAAAATTAATATGCTACACCCCGTTATTAAATGTGGATAATTCTTAACTGTAGATCTACGTATAATCACACGCACATCCATGTGTATGCGTATTTAATGGATGATTATTAATTAACTTCATCTACGATTAATAAATATCGTGCGTAAATAACCCGATGTAGCATATATATAACGAAAACACTAAGAAGCAAAACCAGTCAAGAAATGAAACAAAAGAGCATTTTATAAAGGGGTTTGGTTCTTCAATCTTTTTCCCAGTTGCAGAATCAAAGATTTAATTTCTAAAGAATTATTTCCCTTCAGATTCTTGATCTTCTTCACTAGAGTTGCTTACTAACTTGCAGAATATATATGCAGAAACTTGGAATAATTATTGAGACTAGCTATACATCTCATGATCTAAAAACATAAATTAAACCTAGTAGATCAATCCCTAATTAAGAATTTAAACTTTAAATTAGTGGAAAGAGAGTGAAATTACTGTAATATATGAGATTAATTAATTTATTAATACCCACTTTGATTTACTTGCTTGCTTGAATGAAATGATCCACTTTATTCTTCATCATGGTTTTAGTTGAATCTGAACCCACTCGTATCGCCCTTCCATTGGCTCGTCCTTCACTATATCGTAGTTATACCTGCATACATACATATACATACATATATACATACACGAACTCAGTACTACTGAATTATGGTTAATAAATTGGGTGAAAAAAATAAAAAAATCCGGTGCACGTAAAAGAGAGAGTAGTAGTACTTGTCGATGAATTGTTTCTGCAGATTATTTTCTGCCGCCGTGAAGAAATCTTCCAGTTCAGCCTGGGTCGGCATTTTCGCGGTGGCGGAACGCCGGCCGGAATTCGTCTCACGTGGTCGCGCCGTCGACTCCAGCTCGCCTGACTCAGATTCTACGTCGTCGCCACTCGAAGGCGTCGTTTCTCTACTGCAAAAAAAAAATTACAAACGGTTTCTCAGCGAAGAAACACACAGCGCCTAAAAAGCGCAGCGGATTAAAAATTTAGTTCAATTTTTTTGGAGATTTGAATTTTTGAATTTGAAGAAACGTATAAAGAAAAATCACTATATTTTGATTTAATTCAGAAAAAAAAAAGAATTATAATTTTACCGGTCTCTGATGATATCCACCGAATTGTCAGCCGCCGATATCGGGAAAAACTCCACGCTCACCTCGTTCTCTTGCTGTACCTGAGAAAAATAAATTAAAATAAATCAAAATTCAAAATAGCACTCTCGTTAATTATAGAATATATATATATAGTTAAAGCTCTGGACACGATATTAATTCCGCTGTCTGGCTGTAACTTCCATGAAAATAATATTTTAAAATAATTCCTGAATTAATTAATTAATTAATATATTACCTCCAGATCTAGGAAGCCGGAAATCTCCTTGGCCAACTCACTGATCGGTCTGCTACTTGAGCAACGACCGGAATTAACGCTGTCGCACGTCGAGTTCCAGGAACGCGCCGGTGAAGCCGAATTATCCGGCGTTGACAAGGTCAAACTCAAACGGCGTGTTTTGAGCTGAATTGACGATTTTGACAGCTCCGATTCCCCCAAAGCAGTTTTCCTCTTCCTACCTCCCGCCGCCGCCGTATCAACTGGCTTCTCCATCACCGCCGCCTCTCCTGATTCCTTGCACTTGCTCGCATACCTTCCCATGCGGAATTTTTTTTCCTGAATTTAAATTAGTGATCCGATTATCAAATTAGAAAAGGTTCTGCGCATCATAAATGTGGAATATTGTAGCTCCTAGAAAAGAAGTCGATCATTAATCTCTGCAATTCTTTTATTCCTCTGTGTGCACGTAGAGTACCGTGTTCTGGTGGAGACTATGGTGAACTGTCTGCTTTTTGCTGCGCTTTTTCTGTGACAGAGGTTTTTATAGAGAGAGAGAACTTTTTTAGAGAGAGAGAGAGAGAGAACGTGACAGTGAGTGATGGTGATAATGACGATGACGGAGATGCTTAAGCTCAGAGAATTCCGTTGAATGGTTCAGATTTTTGTTATGATTAGCTCCGTTAACGGTGACGGTAATCTTCGAGGCCTCCGTTAGACAGATCTAGCAGCGGCTGAAGCTATTAGAGTGGGACGGTATAGCTACCCGCTAAACATCTGACACGTGTATTTTCATGGTTCGTTAATGAATTAAATCTAATTTTCAAAAGTTTATCAAATATTATTTCGTTAACAAGACACGAAAATACGCGAACACAACGAGTTTTTTCATAATTTGATCATACTTTAGGAGTGATTGTAATTTATTTTAAATATAATTTCAATATTTTTTTATTAATAAATTTAAATAAACAAAGTATAATTTAGAAAAATAGAATTCAAGTTGAAACTAATGACGTGGTACTTGATTATATCATTTCTCTCTCTTTCTTGTAATATAGCAATTAGCACAAAGTAAACTTCTATTTATTGTTGAGATCACACGGATGCAGTGTGTTAATCTGGGCTTAGTTTGGTGTAAAGCTGGTATTAAGCGTTAAAGTTGTGGCTATTTTACTAGATGAAATGACAAAGTTACCCCCACTAAAACATTATTAATAAGAGAGGTAATTAAAGCTAATTTTTCCTGCGTTTGATTTTCCCGCCCTCCGTTATTTTTATCCGTAAAACAAATTAAACTAAACAGACCTAATTCTTAAACTGGATTTATCTAAACGTCAGATAGTTGTGTGGAATAATATTAAGTTGACTGCATGAACTTGAATTCTCCATTCATCTTTTCATTTTACTACCCCGTAGGGACGGTTTGTTTTTTTTGTTCTTCCTTTTCGGGGAATACGATGCTACACCCGGTGATTTTCACCGGGTAACTCTCTTATTGACATGTGTCCTTTTTAATTTATTTTATAATTATTTTTCTATAACCCAATGGGCCATAACTGAACCCGTAGTGGGAATCTTATCAATTAGGGTGCCTGGTTAAAATCACCGAGTGTAGCATCGATATTGCCTTCTTTTTCCGTTCGATAAAGTCATTTTCTTTTGAGTTAAAGAAACATGGACCGCTTGTCTACGTCAAATAAAGTTGCGTGCTACTGTTATTTAACTTCCTCCAATTTATTACACATTCTATTAAAAAAAAAAGGGTAAATTACGGGCATCCCCGAGGGAAGGTTGAATTAGAGTCCCCTCTTATTTGGGTAATTACAATCATCTCCTTTAGCTATGTATCTTCTTACACGTACGCTTTTATAGTGTCAAATTCAACATAATCCGTAATTTACTCTTAACAAAAAAGAAAAAAGAGCGAGGTGATTGTGTCTATGATCCATGATATATATACATGATCATGTATATTACAATTAGTCATCTAATGAGATGACTTGTGGCCTTAACTTAATGGGACGAGCCTAATACGCCATCTCAAGTGCAGGTGAATTACATTTAAAGCATTGCACTTGAAATATTTTAAATGAGTGGTTGTGGAATTCAAACTTATGACCTTTTTTTCATTTGGTCTGGCTCTGATACCATGTTGAATTAATGACCATCTCAACCAAAAACTTAAGCTGTTAGTGAAATGTATCATTTAATATTAATATCTCCAATAGAACCCGTTGACTTATTTATTTGGAGATGAGTTGTATTTTGAGTTTGATAATGGCCCAATGGGATGTATCAATGCCAAACATGTATATTATAATATAAGCTCGACTTTAATCAAGTAATTACAATATACATATGTATATTTAAACACACCTTTTAGTTACAAAATTTGAGGGATGATCCCAATCACTCCTCAAATTAGACTCTTTCAATAGAACCCAAAATTATTATAGGCATCCTATCCAAACATGATATGGAAAGTCCAATTTTTATTTATTTATTAATTTATCATTTAATTTGAGTCACCCCATAAGTTGCTAGAGTCTAAGAATATGGGAAGTGAAAGATTCTCAATAAATAATAAGCAACTGTTAACACCTAATTGAGGTGAACAAGATCCGTTTGGAATTTATACTTTCAAGTACCAAAAACATTGAAAATTAAATTGATTTTTTGAGATTGATTTTTGGGAGACATGGAATAATGCACGGCCATTTAATTTAGGTCCATAACGGCACAGCTTTCTAGGTGGTGACTTACTGAATTTATATTTATGTCATTTGGGTATATTTATATTCAATTACACATGGGGCTACCATTTTTTTTTTATGGCTATGTGCGCTGTCCATATTAGGTTTTGTAGAGGCGTCGTAACATCCCATGAAATATATCGAGTGATCATGCTACATTAATCTGCACATAATAATATATGCATACATATATCGATGTGTATGCGTACTTAGAAGATATTATAGGGGCAAATTGACATTTAAGAATACTTGACATTTAAGAAGGCTTTGCGTGATGCTAATTGGCGTAATCGATTAATTAAATGGGGTTGTCTTGTTGGATCAAGTGTTGATTATTCTAATTTTGTCGTTCTGTTGTAAACTTGGGTTTATTTTATTTTATTTTATTTTATTTAATATAATTATGTTTAATGCATCTATATATATTATTCTTATACGAAGTCAATAGGAACTGTTAGACGCCTAAGAATGGAGTATTTGTTATTTAGTCCTCCTCCACATGCATTACTGGATTTTTTTTATAAAAAAAGAAAAGAAAAAAATCATTATTGGTGTCGATATATCAAATCCTTAAGCTGAAACTGGATAGTAGTATATATTAAAAGTTGAAACTTTCATTCAAATTATAAACGTTGGATTAAAGTTACAAATGCACAAACAATATGATAGCCAACTTTCTACGTAAGGTTAAATTATGAAAAATCATTTAGTTTGGGTAATATAATCACTCCCTCAACCATATGAT